CCAAGTAGCTGGGACTACAGGTGCCTGCCACAACACCTGGCTATTTTTTTGTTGCACTTGTCATTGTTGTTTGGCAGGCCTGGGCTGGATTCAAACCCGCCAGCTCCAGTGTATGTGGCTGGCGCCCTAGCTGCTGAGCTACAGGTACCAAGCCATCATTTTTCTTTAAAAGACAGTCAGTCAGGCTATTTGCTTTGCCAAAGGGTCAGGAGATAGGGATACTGATGGGAGGGATTTTATTTTCATACGCTGTTTCCATGGATGGCTGTTGGCAAACCCCAGCTGGGGCGTTGTGGATGGCCAGGGAACCCCAGGGCTACCCTCCAAGGCTCCTTCTCCTGGTCTGTCTGGTCTCCAAGAGAGTGGCAGAGGCCATAGGCAGGTAGCCAGGGCCTCTCCCTCCTGCATCCTTGGGGCAGAGCAGAGGGAGAGCAACCCCAGGGTCAAAGTGTACAGCCCTTGCCCACTCCCCTGCTTTGCCCACTTTGGGCAAAGCTTTGTGAGGCTGGAGACCCTCAGGGCCATTTGCCCAGCAGACCCTCTGATGAGGAACAAATTCTTTCCTCTCTTTCCTCCCTTCTCAGCCTGGACTGCACAGCCCAGATAACCAGATAAGGACCTCTGATTTCCAGTGTGTTTACACAAGCTGTGGCCCCAAGTCTCAGAAAGAATCAACAATCGGGCAAGTCAGGACAACTCCAGGTCGGGTGGGGGAGACCACCACCTTACCTGTTCCTGGGAGTTCATCACGCGCAACTTCATCTGCTTCAGGTACGTGGAGGTGAGGGGCATGTTGTAATCGATAATCCCCGAGACCAGAGGAGATGGAGGCTCATTTTCTGGCAGAAAGAACAAAAGGAAACCCCTTTCAGTCTGTGCTATAGGCCCATCACCCACTTGGAGAACTGAGCCAGGAGCCTGTGGAGGAGGGAGTCACCTTTGAGAAGAGACAGGCTGGAGCTCACAGACTGGTGGCTCAGCCACTATATCTAGCCCATAGGTGTGGACTGCATGGTGTGGGAAATATTTTTCAGTGAGGTGCCCAGCCTTCTAGAGATTTCATATGATAAAAAATGTAAAACTTTTGCTTCTTTGAAAAATGGAAGATCTGACTACATGGCCCCCATTCTGAGCACAGCACTGCCTTTAGCTGGGTGTGTGCGCTCCACTTTGCCACAGTCCCCACCACTCCTTATCATAGTATACACCTTTGCCCAGTTACTTGCCAGGCTCCTGAAGGCATTTACATTTCCAACCCGGGTCTAAGCTCTCTTCCTGGTGAACACAAGCCACCCCCCCCACAACCCCCCCCCCCCCACAGC